TTTGGGCTACTGGGTCACACCCAGTAGCCCAAAACCCCCACCCCCACCAACACTGGCAGGGCATGCCACAGTATATAAACAGGGAGCAAACCCCATTCCATTCTAGCACTGAAGATGTTACCTAGGTGGGTAATGAAACATCTGCAAGAAAACAACCAAGCTCAGAGAACCCCAAGGACTCCTCAGTTCAACCCTGAGCTATACATATTCGCTTCTACAACTTGTGTTTTTAGACAGTGTGATTTGGATGAGAACATTTTTATCTCCGTTCACAAACTGGCTGCTGCTGGTTCCGTGCTGTTAAAGTGTTCATGAGAAATCCATAATGCTGGATAAGAGATACTTTTCTCAATGCCAAAGAGACTCTTTTAATATAGTTTATTATACAGGTAGTTCTTGTTTAGTGGCCAGAACTGGGACCGGCAACTTGGTTAAGTGAAGTGGTCACTAAATGAAACCATGGCTGTGCTTATGATCTTACATCAGCCTTCCTTTGCTTTACAGATCTGCAAAGGTTGTAAATGTGAGGACTGGTCACAAAGTTATTTTTTCATTGCTGTCATAACTGCAAAATGAGGACTACCTGTTTGCCTAAGCTCTGCTTTAGAAAACAATCTGTCTTTGAGGAAAAACCTTATAGTTTATACTGAGGAGATCCAACCTTCCTCCAGCTTTGATGGCCTAAGGAAGGCTTGTACTAAGGATGCTGGAGATCAGTGGTTTTCAGGGCCTGGGTTAGATACCATTGTGAGTTGTAGCAAAGTCTGTTCTAGACCTGAAAAGATTGCAGTAAAGATTAAATTTTAAAAGTTTACTTGTTTTTCTTTTTTCAGGTGGCTATTAAATATGTTGCTAAGGACCGAGTCTTGCAGTTCCACCATATGGTGAGCGTTCCTTCCATGCTGAACATTTTTGCTATTAAACTCTTGCAGTACCCTTTGCTGTATGGAGAGCTGTGGCAAATGCTTTATCAGTTTGATTTCTGTCCTTTTTCTAGAATGGCACCCTTGTTCCTCTGGAAGTCCTTCTGCTGAAGAAAGTGTCATCCCCGGGTTGCCGAGGAGTTATCCGTCTTCTGGATTGGTTTGAGCAGCCTGACTCGTACTTCATTGTTATGGAGCGACCGCTTGTTTCTCAGGACCTGTTTGATGTTATCACAGACCAGGGGCCACTCCCTGAAAATGTGGCTGCTGGTTACTTCCAACAAGTGGTGGAGGCAGTGCGCCACTGCCACCTTTGTGGTGTGTTGCATCGAGACATAAAAGACGAAAACATCTTGGTAGATCTTCTGCATGGTGACTTAAAACTCATAGACTTTGGCTCAGGTGCATTGCTGCGGGATTCTCCGTACACAGATTTTGATGGTGAGTAGAGGCTGTGTAGTTGGCAGGTAGAAGGAAGGGACCATTTGCATGTAGGAAAGAGCAAAGACCTTTGTCTGAAGCTGCAGTGAGTTATTGCTAGCCACTGTGGAGTTACACAGGGTTAGATGGACCAAAGGTCTTTACAAGACAACTTTCTATGGAGGATGAAGAATGCATGGAACTCAGTATAATAGCAATCTCCTGAACAAACAAAAAAAGACCAGATCTCTTGAACAAATTGTCACAGAAATGTCTAAAATAGCTCTCCTAAACTTGGTGCCCCTGAACTTGAAGTAACCATTTGGCTGGAGATTTTTGATGTTGAAGTCCAAAATGCTTGGAGGATATCAGGTTCAGAAAAGCTGGTCTTGAAATGTGACAGAAAAGTTTCTGATTACAGGAATTTCAGAGAGTTGGTAGAGAGAAGCAAGAGCTCTTTGTTTTTTTCTCAGCTCAGTTCTGAGCTAATCAAGTAAATCCTCCTTTGAATCAAGCTTGATTTCTGCAGGCTTTATAGACATTCTTAGCAATAAGTAGTCTGATGTTACCTCCTTCTGGAAAGTTTTTTAAATTTTCAGTTTAGCCTATAGTCCTGGTGTTCCCTAGTGGTCTCCTATACCTGCTTACCCTCCCAGCTGCTGCCACCTGCTGAAGCACTCAACCAATAAGAAAAGCAAAAAGTGCTCTGTGTGTTGATGTAGAATGAGTAGCTATATGGATAATTAACATGAATTCACCCATACTTTTAGTGAACACACAGACGAATTCTAGCACCATACTTGCTACCTTTTCACCAACAGAACTATGCACCATCTCCCTTGATAAACATCCATAGGACATTTATAAGGAAGAGATATTTATATATGCAAATTTCATGTGTAGAGAGTTATATTTTGGCAAGGGCCAGGATATGCACCGAACTTTACAATGGAATGAGTTCAGTTCCAGTCGTAATCATAGCTTTCCTGTTTGCTCCAAAGGACTCTTGTCTTGTCACTTGGCTAAAGATCTTAAGAATGTTGTTTTGTGCTGTGTATCTAGTTCCCAGGGATCTCATATTTTGAATTCTTTTAAAAAGTATGTTAAAGGTAAAAGCAGTTTGATCTTTTTCTTAAGCTAGGCTGTTTGTTTTAGATTAAGAGTGGCCATTGTTTCTTAAAGAAGCTCAGATGGTTAGGCATTTTTCAAAATGCTTTCATCGCCCAAATATGTGCTAGTTACTCTTTTGATTCATTGCACCCTTCCAATTTTCATATTTCTGGGAAGCAGAAATTCTGTTGGCTAAGTGTATAGCTGATGTATTTGTAAAATAATTCTAGGTACTCCAAATTCTCAGCAGTGTCTGCTCCCATATAGCATTAAACTCATAGGGTTGGTTTCAAATGAGATAGGAAATCTGTGGCTAGAGCAGTGTTTCTCAACCTTGGCCCCTTTAAGTTGTGTGGACTTCAACACCCAGAATTCCCCAGCCAGCATAGCATAGAATTCCGGGAGTTGAAGTCCACACAACTTAAAGGGGCCAAGGTTGAGAAACACTGGCCTAGAGTATGCTACCGCACACTGTAGATGAAGGTTTTTGCATGATTGTTTTTCCTCCAAAATAATTATTTTACAAAGTGTATTTTACACAGAAGATCCTTAACATTTTTAATGTTGTCTATGTTTGCAGATAGAATGAGTCCCATTTTATACTGAGGCAGCATATAATCAGCTTTGTTTTTTATTATTTATCTGACCAGGGTGGTATGGCTACTGTGTCCTATAAGAGTAAAAAACATGCGGCTTCCAAGCCTTTAGTTCTGAGGAGGTCTCTCTGGGCAATGTTGTCAGCTGTTCCTTTCTCTTGCTACAGGCACGCGAGTGTATAGCCCCCCTGAGTGGATAAAATACCACCGCTATCATGGTGTGCCTGCCACTGTGTGGTCCCTGGGCGTGCTACTGTATGATATGGTATGCGGGGACATCCCTTTTGAACGTGATGAGGAGATCCTGCTTGGGAAACTCCACTATCACTGTAGGATATCCTCAGGTGAGCTTAGCCCAATGAGTACATATATCCAATCCAGGGGGGTCTGTTAGGCTCATGTCACAGGATCCAAATGGGGGCTGGTCTGGGAACTTCTAGTCTAAGGAGTTACCTGGCTTTCTGTTGAAAATCGGTGCTCTTTCTGGTGACAGTCCAGGCCAATATTCTTCACCTGGTCTAGTTTCGTTTCTTTTCTTTTTTTTTTTTTTTGGTCCCTTCAAGTCGGTTTGACTCCTGGCGATTGCCTGGACAAGTCCTTGAAGTTCTCTTGGCAAGATTTTTGAAAATGGTTTGCCCTGGCCGCCGCCGCCTCCCTAGGGCTGAGAGAGAGGGACTGGCCCAAGGTGACCCAGCTGGCTTCGTGCCTTGGGCGGGACTAGAACTCACGGTCTCCTGGTTTCTAGCCTGGTGCCTTAACCACTACCCCAAACTGGCCCTCTAGTAGAGTTAAATTGGCCATTTCCCCATTGAATTCTTTGTGTGTGCCGTTGGAAAGTGGGGACTGACTTCTTTGTACAAAAATCTGTAAAGGTCCTCCCACCCACCCCCAACCAGAGACTCTAGGTGGTTGAATTAACAAGACCAACTCCCTACAATAGGCAAAGCCCAGCCCCAACAGGCAAAATAAATCATTGTACCAGTAAAATACAATAAAAACATGAACAAAATTAAAGGAGCTTGTAATGCTCATCAGCACACACATGTTCTATGAAACATAATGGTCTTACTGCTTTGTAGAGCAGGTTGTCCCTCCCCCCACAAAACCTTGGATAAGCTATTTCATAATGCGGGGGTTGCCCTCAAGGAGGACTCTCTCTGCCCCCCCGGCCCCTTCACCCCATGTTGGGATGACCTTTAGAATTCTTTTCAGGAAGAACACATTGGACCAGTACTGAAGACCCACTGGAGCCAAACCATGTAAAGCTGTGTGAGTTCAGGCTAGTGCTCTGATGTGGACCCAGAAACCAAGTAGCAGCCAATGAACACTTAGAACTTCACAGTGGCTTTGACTGTGGGAATGTTAGGGACGTAAGACAAGCAGTTGCCATTGGATGGCCCAGTTTGCTGCATGAATTCATGATCAATGTTCCTCTCTCCGAATGACTGTCCCTCAATTTGGTTAAACAGTGCAATCAATTCATAGATTTTGGTTGTGGGAAAATAGCTACAATTTGGCTTTGGCTAAATGACATAATTATTGCCTATTAATGACGATGATAACCACTTGTTGAGTGGTTTGTCCATAGGGTGATGCAATATCAATAATTATCTCCTCCTTTGATAGACTGCCGTCACTTGATTGAGTGGTGCCTCTCGTTAACGCCAGAGAAGCGACCTTCCTTGGAGCAGATCCTGGCTCACCCGTGGCTCCTCACATTCTTGGAGCCGAGCGGACGCAAAGTGCAGCAGCCCACAGCCCACAAAGGTGGTACAAGCCTGTGACTGGCAGCCTATGGACAGAATAGGGGCAGCCTGTCACACAAGGAGCAAAGGCATCGTGGCTTCTCCTGCACCAATGGACTGATATAATCACTGTTTCTTATTCCTGCTGATTAGCTGAGCGGGAAATTGCCACTGGGGGCAATTTCTGAAATCCCGATGGTGTGGCAGTAATCCTGCCCAACTGACTAGACAACGGGGCTGTCATTCGGCCCCTACACAAGACAACAGAGACCAAGGGGTGCTGTTTTGTTTACACAAGGACTCTGCCTGACCCTGTGTGCTGGGAAGTGGCAGAGACTGGCACCAGGCAAGCAGCGTTTCAAGGCTTTCTCTTGTACGACTTGAGCACCTCAGGACCTACCTCTTTGGGGCAGCAGGATTGGATTGCATTTTTATGTAACGCGGATATATGGTGATGTCTCTGTGGATGCCAGCTTATTTATTTAGCATGATATTCCGTTTGGGGAGCCTCATTTTATGCTGATGCTAAGCGTTTACCTGCTATAGTTTTGAGTGTAGGAAAACTTTTCTCCAGTACAGCCCAAAACTGACACAGTAACATCTCCCCACTTTACCCCATGTATCCATTCCTGTTCAGCCATTCCAAGTCTGAAGCCAAGCTCTAGTGCTTGACTTCTTCGCCCTGCCCTCCCTCACATTGTCCTGTTTTAGAAGGTGAAGGAAATAAAAAGTAAAGACCTAACCTCATTCAAAAGTGCATATAAAAAATTAGTCCATAAATAAAAGCAAGGTTGGGGTGGGGGGGATGTTAATTGAACTTCTGAAAAATCCTGGCTCCAAGCCTCTTCTATTCTAACAAGGACCTCAAATTTTGTTCACATTCAAGCCAAGCTTTCATTCCAAAGAAGAGGCTACCTTTTCCAAAAATGCTGGTGGAATCTTGCAGTTCTAATGGCTCTAAGAATCCTGAGTTTCTTGTTTGAAATTCCTGATAGGTTTCTTGCCTCTTCTCATAGATCTTTCATCTGGGCGATGTTGGACCTGAATGTGGGTGGCCTGGGTTCCTCATTCCATCATGTCAAACTTGGGCCTCCCAAGAGGTGGCTTGCAAGTCCAACTGAGATTTTAGTTAATATAGGGAAAGTCTGGTGCCTTGGATGTTTTCTTAACCTTGGCAAATACCTTTTCATCTATTGATTTTTGTAAGACCTCCGTTCTCCTCCACACACACACTGTTTTTTTTTGTTTTGTTTTTTTTGCCTTAGAAACTGAGGGGTCAACAGGGGACTTTTCTGTTTAGCCTTAATCATCTTAATGAATTAGGCCAAAGTGTTCTTAACCTTTGAGTAAGAACTTGTGTTTTGAAAGAGTAACAGTAAGGGCCTTTTTGGCTCTCTGAATTGGCCTTCTAGAAAACTTCGGGTTATATGGGATTTTCAATGATTTTCCATCCTTAGTAGGGGGGGTCAGAGCCTTCTCTTGGCCACATCTATTTCTCCGGTTGCTTTGAATTCTGGTCTTACCACTTGGTAAAGAGAGGAGGATGCTGCCTCCATGAGCAGTTAAGACTGACAGATATTTGAGGTAAAGATTCAAGCTGATTGTCAGGTAGATTTATCAGTCATAGTCATCTAGCAAAACCTCAATAAACTTTGGCCCGCTTTGATAGTCAGCCAAAAGGAGCACGTGCCACAAACTTGCCTGCCCAGAATGAAGCAGGGGAAATGATGACCTTGCTTGATATTCTACTGTTGAAAATTCAGGCTTACTAAAAGCTTGAATATTCTGCTCTAGCTCTCAGCTGGAAGGAGAAACAAGACTCCATTCTTAAGCTGGATCTCAAAGACATTTGGAAAACAAGTCTGGCTGCTTTCTGAGTGTCTCCAAGGTTCAGAGTGACCTTCAAATGGGGAGACATGCTGCTTCTGTAGATCATGGGGAGGGGGGGGGGAAGAAAAGCAAAGTCTTCCCTTGATCTCTTCCTGGCCATGCTAAAGCATGAACTTGTGGTTCCCTGTGTCTGCACAAAGCTGAGCAGTCTTAAAATTCCTGTCCGCTTAACACAAGTATTGTGCCTCTTAATGAAGTGGGAGCTGGGTCAGAATGATATCCAGGAAAGAGAAGGGCTGCAAAACCGGAGATCCAGCCTGGGATATTACCAGCAACAGTTTCTAAGCCTGCTGCGGTTAGCAATTATAACTAAAGAATATTTATATGCCAGTTCAGGTTGTTACTTTATATTTGTGGACATGTGTGTTTTCTTACTGCCTCTTATGTACATTTGTGCAACCACATAACACAGTGCCTCGCCCTTTTGGGCCCCTATATCTACAAAGCCCGATCTGGGATTAAATAAACTTTTATAAGAAAAAGAGTTGTTTCTCTTGTGTACACATTTATTTTGGGGACAATAGTTGTTGAGTGCCCACGTGTGTAACTGAGCTGGGTTTAAGGTAAATAGATCTACTCTTGGCTGATTCAGTGCTCAGTTCCAGAACTTTTATATCTGTAAAATCCTTTATCTTCTGAGAAATTCAAATGAGCTTGAGACCAAAGAATAGCTACAACAGTTTGCAATTGCAAATGCTTTATGTCCTTTTTACTTTGAAGATTTTTCAAAGTAAATTTGAAAGATAAAGGACAAGTGTGTTTTTTAAAATTTCCCTTGAAATAATAGTATAAAAATAGTAAAACATGCAGAGAAAACAGTGCTTAAATAATAGTGAGAGTCTATGAGGTTACGCAGCAGCTAAGGGTTGGCAAGATAGATGCCCATCAAAGGTCCTTATGCTAAAATTTCTCCTGCTTTTTAGTAATTTTAAGCAGTTTGGATGGGAATATACGCTGGATCTATATATTGTACTAAGTCTTGGTTTGTTTATTTTTGGCTTATTAGATAAATCAGTTGGATTTATGCAAAATGTTAAGCCACAAACATAGATGCTAAACATCCTGAGCCCCACCTGTTTTTTTGGTTTTGGTGAGGGAGGGGTGCAAGGCATCAGTTTGTATAGCCTCTTGTTTTTTGCCAAATTTCTTTAACAATTTAGCTGGACATTTCGGCCTATAAAGATGTATGATGCTTTGTGAATTACCCGAATTATTGCTGCCAGTCCTTTTTTATCCATTAGTCAAAGGCTGGTTACCAGTTTTTCCTCAAACAATTGTGTGCAAAAAATCCACTCTATAGCAGTGTTTCTCAACGTTAGCAACTTGATGTGTGGACTTCAGCTCCCAGAATTCCCCAGCCAGCATGCTGGCTAGGAAATTCTAGGAGTTGAAGTCCACATATCTTCAGGCTGCCAAGTTTAAGAAACACTGCTCTATAGTATATAGTCTGTAGATTTGGCTTGAGCAAAACCCATGTTTAGATGCCCTAATGCTATCTACCATTTCCATCAGTTTTCATATTACCCAACATTAAAAGGTAGCTATCTTTCTTACTGCATATACCTTAAAATGTAATCCAATCTCTCACTACATGTTCCTTGTGCTTGCTTGTGTTCTGATTAATAAGATTGGTCACACCTTTTCAGGAAGTGTGTAGAAGACGTTTCCTTCTCGTTTGGAGTAGCATACCTGTCTCCCAGGGTGTGAATCCAAATTTAATTGGATGTGCTGTGACACAAGGGAAGCAACAGGAGAGATTGGCTATCTTGCCAAGTTGTGAGACTGATTCAACCTGTTTTTAGGAGTTCATGATTGCCCACAGATTTATGAGCCACAGGGAGTTGACATTAAAACTCTCATCAATGTTTGATGGAAGCAAGGATGGTGGTAGACCAAAAATCTGAACCAAAGTTGCAGATGTTACTATCTTGTTAAGAGATGGGTAAGTAGAGCGGCATTCATTTCATACTCTTGGTGTGAGAAGTTCCAGTTCTCCCAAGCACGTGGGTGTTGTCTGAGACAGATAAAGCATGAAGTTTCTCAGTCAGGTCCTGACAAGATTAAAGCAGTTCAGCATCCTATTAAAAGAGGTGTGTTCCTAATGCTGGAGTATAAATGCTTCTGCTGGGGCAACTGTTCTGAGAGATGCAGAAACTGCTGGAGTGAGTGCTTCAGGTAAGTAAATGGGCTTTGGCGAAGCAGGTGGGGTGTGAGTATATCACAGATGCCTCTTTCATTAGAGGCTCATGTTAATCTAGTATCTTTGATAGAGATGATTTACTCCTACTAGAGTGGTTAACTCTGCCTAAGTTTTTAAGCAGGAACAGCTTAGTTTGTAGCAAAGTAAAAGTCTGAACAAAGGTACCACAATAATACTGTTTAGTACTTCTCCTCTGAACAAGAAACTACTGTAATAATTTAATTTGAAGAGACAGTTATTCAAATTATAGATCAGAGTAAGAAAAGGAAGCATACCATAACTGTATGTGTCCAACTTAAATGGCAAATGTAAGAATAAAATGGATAGGGAAGGATGACATCTGGAATCAAAATTGAAGGTTGAAGCACTAATAATCTGAGTTACACAGATGGCACCACTCGGTGCAAGTAAAAAAGAAAATATTATGAAAGTCAATGGAAAATGTAAAATCTGGGTTATTGTTAAATATTAAGACAAAGATAATGTCAACCAGCATGCTTCATAAACTTACAGGTGATGCAAAAAACTGAAGATAGTAGGCAGTTTTGGCTTTTTGGGCTCAAGAATAGTTCAAGAGGAACAGTATACTGGAGAAGTAAAGAGGCAATTAATCCTAGGGAGGAAGACAAAGAGAAACATAAACAAGATCATGAAGAATAAGGACATTTCAATTACAATCAATTGTGGACAAGAGAAATGCGCATACTTAGGACATCTAATACAAGTGGTTTATGAACTAGAAAAAATTAACCTTGACAAATTGAGGCCATGGAGGACAGCAATGGAGAAAGTGAAGGGACAAGATCAAAGAAATTACAGGAAGTCTGTGGAAGGACTGCAAGTTAATATTAGAGACAGACCAAGATGGTGAACATTTGTCCATGTAGTCAGAGTCAAGCCCAAGTCAGTGACACCTAACTGATGCCTTTAGATGTCTTGAACTACAACTCCCACAATCACTTGCCACATTGACTTAGATTAATGAAGGTTGAAATCCAAACCATCTGGAAGGCAAAACGTTGACTATCTGTGCTTTGCATGCATTATAACTGTAATCTTGATTTATGCTTTGAAGGTAAGTCAATAGTATTCTCGTCATTTTGCAGATTTCAGAATGAGAGAACTGTAAGTTCATGTCTTAGATTCCCCCCCTGCCACTAGAAGGATGTTTGGGATTTGAACTAGGAACTTCCAGTTTATCAATTATAATCTTAATATATCTTATATCAATTTGCAGTGCATGCCAATTATTTTATTTTAAAAATTTGTGTGTTCCTTCATGTGCATGAGTCTTCTCCAATTTGGTACCCAGCAGATGTGTTGGGACTGCAGCTCAGAGTTCAAATTCAGCATGCCAGTGGTTGAGAAATCTTGGAATTACTCACTATTTTTGGTGACTTAGGGAGTTGACTTTTCACATCCAGAATATATAGACAAAATATATCAGAGGGACAGGTTTGCAGTCAGATGCAGGAAGATCTTAGAAAAAACAAACGAGATCTGCAGCCAAATATCTGCAGCTTCCTCACCACTTAATATGGCTGGGGCTTTCTCATTTTCTTTTCCAATGGTTCATAAATAATATTTTAAACACTGTAATGGAGATGGGGAAATATCTGGTAATGTTTAACCTTGAGAAGACTGATAGCACTCTTCAAATGCTTGAACAGATGTCATACAGAAGAAGAAGAAGGAGCTCTCTACCACCTAGAGTGCAAGAATAATGGATTTAAGTTACAGGAAGACAGATTCCAACTGGATATTAGAAAAAACTTCCTGACGTAACAATAGTTCCCAGAGAGAGAGATGGTAGGCTCCTTTTCACTGGATATGTCCGATCAGAGATGCTTTAATTTTGAGTAAGGATTTGGAGTTGGTGGCCTAAATTGCCCCTCTGAATCCTATGATTCTATGGGGTGACTTGAAATTGTAGAATGATAGGCACAAATCAGAGGATAGATGAAATGGTTATTTTTATTTGTTTGATTTATAGTTTATTCAGTGTTATTTATAAACTCAAGGTGACTAATGAAATGCTAAAAAATAAATCTAGAAAGTTAAAAGGTACAATCAAATTAATACTATAATCAATTAATGATTAAAAGACAGTCAAAGAGGGCACATTTTAACTATTCACTAAATCCCAAGAGAATGGAGGCAACTTCTCCTGAGAGAGCTTTCTGTAGCTTGGGAGCAACAGAGAAGAAGGTCCTTTCCTGCTGACCAGATAAAAGGACATCTGACTGCAGGTCACCTTCAGAAAGACCTGTCCTATGTATCTTAATCCCTGAGCAGTTCATAACTGGAATGTAGTCCTTCAGATAATTGGGCCCTGAAGTATTTAAAGCATTAATCGTCAATACTAACACTTTAAATTATGCCTTGCATATAGAATTACTAAACCTAAGCTGCTAAAATCCAAATGACCACTAGTTGGCTTCAGAGAACTAGAGTTGTCTCTGTTTCTTTGCTCCCATCTAATGACTGGCTGGATTTTATCATTTCAGATCTGGCGGCCCTGCTGTAACCATTTACTTCTGGAATAAGCATCATGTCATCTCTGTAGCATGATCTGGTTAGCAGCCTAGCTTTATTAAAGTCTATTACATCCCAGTTTAATTTAATATTGCCCTCAAAAGCTAAGGATAGCTTTTGAGAGCAATGGCTGAGTGATGGGGTATACATACTAATCTTGTGATAATTAAGGTTATTACTTGATGATCAGTTTGTTACTATTAGCTTCAGTCACCATTACCAAAGTGGGTAATGCCAAGAGAGGCAAGGACCTAGCCAATTCTGATAACCAATTGGCATGCTGGAAATTCAGGTTGAGTGAGGAACCTGTTGCTCATGCAGAGAAACGGTTATATAATTGCTCATGAACTTGTCCAGATTGCTAAGTCATATTAGAGCCAATTAAAAGTTGCCAAGAGCAAAGACTGTGAGTGCAATAAACACGCTTTGAAATGTGAGCCAATTATGTCAATCAACAATTTCATGACTACCTGCCACATGATTCTGTGTGGATCTGCTTCATATGAATGAGGTCTGAGATCAACTCATCTGATCTGAGAGTCAGCATAGTACGATCGCTACGCTACAGGAGTAGCAAGCGGTTGTAATGTCGAAATGAGGAAACACAGGTTGAAGTCCGCCTTTGGCCTGGAAGCTCCAGGGTGACTTTGGATCAATTGCTTTGTCTGAGCACAGTCTACCTTGTTGTTAAAGGAATAAAATTAAAAGAGATCCCT